AGCCTCCATGTGTGCTGCCTGCCTCCTGCCTCCCATGGCCTGTCCTGGTTGTGTCATAACTTCAGGCTGCTTCCTCTTTCTCTGTGTTCGTTCTCCCATCTTTCCACATGGATGCTGCTGGAATTCCAAGGGAGGCACTGGAGGGCTCTGGTGCATTCGAGTGGTGGCTCAGATACACACAGGAGGCCTGTTGTGGCTGCTGAACCCTATCTGCTGTGGGATTTATCTTTGGTGTTTGCTTTCACTGCTTTTGAGCTTCACTGGCTGTGGCTTTCATGTCTGATTCTGCTGCAGGCTCTTCAAGGTCTCATCTTCCTTGCAGTGGGTCAGTGGCCATAGGGAGAGAGACGAGAAGAATGAGGAAGTGGGTGGAGGTGGGCAGGGTGCCTCCACTGGCTCTCTGGGAGAAATCCAGCCCCCTTCCTCCCTGGGGGACCAGCCTGAAGATGAATACGTGAACTTCGGTCCTGGCCACCCCCTGCCTGACAGCAGCCTCAGTGGTCCTAAGTGAGTGGCCCAGTGCCTGTGAGCTCGGAGTGAGGCTGAGATGGGTGATCAGCTCCTAGTAGGTGCTCAGTAAACTTGAGGTATTTGAGAGGCAACATGGGGTCATGGACATGATTGGATTTTGGAGTCAGGCAGACCTCGGGGGCGTCTCCAGCACTGCTTTGGGCAAGTGGCCTTTATTCCTCTGTGCTTCGATTTTCCTGCCTGGCAAAAGAGGGTCTAATAATTCCCAGTTACACAAGAGGAGAGGTGCCTCACACCATCCATGGAGGTCAGGGCTGTGTCTGGAGGAAGGTGTTCCCTCTCTACACAGGTATTCTGCTCTGTGCCAGGCGCAGACACAGATCAAGGTCGGGACTCACAGTGCCAGTTCAGGACCACAGCATACAGCGCCGTCCAGTGCGCTCTTGCTGTAGTGCCTGATTGCCAGCAGGGATGGAGCCCGGGCTCCTGACTGTGGTTCCCCAGTACAAACGTGTGAGTTTCAGGATATGCCATTGTGTGTTGGGGGAGATGTGATGAAGGGACAGGAGCAGCTCCGTTTGGCCATTTGCTGACCCAGTCAGGCATCCATTCGCATCCCTCCCACCCCAGCCCACCCCAAATTGCAATTTCACGTCCTGACACTGAGTAGACAGTGCTCTGGGCCCACCATGGCATGTGTGTCCATGCTCATGACCAGGGTTGGCCACTGCTACAATGAGGCTCAAGCTGCCCAACAGAGTGAGGAAGCCCAGAGCTTCATGACCCACCACAGTCAATTCTGCTGCACATCTAGGCACTGGGAGCTGAGCTCCAGAAAGCTCCATGATAGTCAATTTCAAGTGTCAGCTTGGGCAAGTTCTAGTACCCAGGCTTTCAGTCAAAGCTGAATGTAGGTGTGTGGGAAGGCATCAGCAGTCAGTTGACTTGAAGGAAAGAAGGGTACCCCTGAGAATGTGGTGGGCCTCATCCAATCAGTTGAAGGTCTTAAGAACAAAAACTGGTTGCAGGGTGTGGTGGCTGATTGGGCAGATCATCTGAGGTCAAGGATTCGAGACCAGCCTGACCAACATGGTGAAACCCCGTCTCTACTACTAAATATACAAAGAAAAATAGCTGGACATGCGGACAGGTGCCTATAATCCCAGCTACTTGAGAGGCTGAGGCAGGAGAATCACTTGAACCTGGGAGGTGGAGGTTGTAGTGAGCCAGCCTGGGTGTCAGAGCAAGACTCTGTCTCAAAAAAACAAAAACATAAACGAAAAAAACTGAGGTCTTGGGAGAAGAAATTCAGCCTCAAGACTGCAACATTAACTCCTGCCTGAGTTTCTGGCCTGCCAGCCTGTCCTACTGATTACAAACTTGCCAGTCCCAACAATCGTGTGAGCCAGTTCCTTAAATCTTTACATATAGTCGTGCCTTGGTTAACACAGGGATAACTTCTGAGAAATGTGTCATTAGGCAATTTCGTTGTGCAAATATCAAAGCATTACACAGCGCAAACATCACAGGGTGTATTACACAAACCTAGATGTAGAAGCTCCCATCCACCTAGGCTCTCTGAGATAGCCTATTGCTTTGGGGCCAAGAAACTTGCACGGTATGTTACTGTACTGAATAATGCAGGCAACTGTGAGTATTTGTGTATCAAAACATATACAGACATAGCAAAGGTACAGTAAAAGTATGATATGATAATCTGATGAACGCTGGGCACGATGGCTCATGCCTGTAATCCCAGCACTTTTGGGAGACTGAAGCAGGAAGATCTCTGAGGCCAGGAGTTTGAGACCAGCCTGGGCAACAGAGCGAGACCCCATTCTCTACAAAAAAAAAAAATACAATAATTAGCAAGGCTGATGACTGATGCATGCCTGTAGCCCTAACTCCTTAGGAGGCTGAGGCAGAAGGATCATTTGAGCCCAAGAGTTTGAGGCTGGGCTCATAAACCAGGATTCTGCCAGTGCACAACCTAGACATAGAGGCAGATTCTGCCTCAAAAACAAAACAAAACAAAATAATCTCATGAGACCACTGATGTGTGTGTGATTTGTAGTTGACTGAAATGCTTATATGGCACATGACTGCATATATACATATATGAGATATATAAATACATAGATATTTTAAGATATGTAAATATAAATATCCAATTGTTTCTGTATCTCTGGAGAACCCTGACTGATCCACTCCTGGTGCAGCCACCTGCCCCTGCAACAGAGGGCTATACCCTGCTGCTGAGATCGAGAGCTGACACCCTGTGGCCTTGGGCTTGGCTGGCCTTGATCCTTATTAGTAGAAATGGGTTCCAGTGGATATCCCAGGACAGAGGAGTTTGGCTTTTAGACGCCCAGCATGCCTTTCTGTAACCTTTGACGCAGGAGTCAGCAGTACACACAAGGGATCAGCAAGTTACAGGTCCTGGACCAAATCCGGCCCACTGCCCTTTTGTGTAAATAAAGTTTTATTGGAACACAGCTGTGCTCACTCATTTGCATGCATCTGTTTCTGTGTGATCCATGGCTACTTTCATGCCACGATGGCAGAGTTGAGTAGTGGGCAGAGAGGGTATGACTTGCAAAGCCTATTGGAGGGGGACAGGACTTCTTGGCTCATATCCTCGGAAGCATCCCCCGTGGGAACTCCTCCAGCCACCTGGGGCTATGTGGGGAAGACTGTGAGTTCTCAGATTTGGTGCAGCAGTTCTCAGACTTGAGTTTCAACTGTGCAGATTCCCAAGCCCACGCCTAGAATTCTGAGTCAGAGGCCCAGGTTGGGGGGCTCGGAAACCTGGGCTTGCTTTCCACAGGATTCTGATGCTGGGGGTCCGACAGCCCATGTTTTAGGAAACCCCGGGATTTGGGAAGCCTGGTTTTCCCTGTCCTGACTAGGCAGAGAGACCCCTGCAGGGATGGACACCAGGCCCTTAGGGTGCCCCACCTCTGAGGTCAGCACAGCCCCCAGGGGTGTCTGGGCCCCATCTTGGCTTTAGGATCAAGGCCATGGGGAGACCTAACAGCCTGCCCAAGGAAGCCCTGGTCAGCAGAGCTGGGTGGTACTGGCTCGAACTGCCACCACGATAAGAGATGTTCTTCCTGGCGCCAAGCCAGGCCACCCCCTCACCAGTTCACATCTTTCCCCAACCTCTGCCTCCTGGGTTCAAGGGATTCTCCTGCCTCAGCCTCCTGAGTAGCTGGGACTACAGGCATGTGCCACTGTGCCCGACTAATTTTTGTATTTTTTAGCAGAGATGGAGTTTCACCATGTTGGTTAGGCTGGTCCTAAACCCCTGACCTCAGGTGATCCGCCTACCTCAGCCTCCCAAAGTGCTGGTATTACAGGCAGAAGCCACTGTGTCCAACCCTCCTTTCTTATCTTGCTGGAGTCCCGTGTCTGCTCTTCTCTGCACTCAGCCACCCTGGCCGGGAAGGAAGCTGCTGGGAACCTACCTTAGAATCTCTTTGGGACCTCAGCTGCCCAAACCCTAAAACGGGTAGGGAGATATGAATCTGGGACTCTGGCTGGATGCAGTGGCTCACGCCTGCAATCCCAGCACTTCGAGAGGCCGAGGCTAGCAGATCACTTGAGGTCAGAAGTTCGAGATCAGCCTGGCCAACGTGGTGAAACCCCATCTCTACTAAAATACAAAAATTAGCTGGGCGTGGTGGCACACGACTGTAGTCTTAGCTACTCCAGAGGCTGAGGCGTAAGAATTGCTTGAACCTGGGAGGTGGGGGTTGCAGTGAGCTGAGATCGTGCCACTGCACTCCAGCCTGGGTGACCGAGCAAGACTCATCTCAAAAAAAAAAGAAAAAAAAAATCTAGGACTCACAGTCAGGAGGTCTGGCTAAGGGATGAGGACTCGGTGGGGGCAGGCAAATGCGCAGTCCAGTGTGTTGAGAAGTCATGAGGGGAACAGCAGGCTTAGAGTCCCCTCCAAATGCCCCCGTAGAGCTCACTACCACCATCTCCTGGAGGAACAGAGAGATGCTGGGTGGGCTTATTAACAATATTCTCTTTATTTACAGCTCAAGAGCACATGCAACATGACGTCATGGGACTACAAGGGCGTGGCACCTCCCCCACCCACTGCTGCTCCCGAACTTTAAAGAGGAACTACAACGCCCTGGGAAATTTCCTAAGAGTCAGAAAACCCTACATTGAGGGTCCCAGGCCGAGGTGCTTCACTTCATTTCCTCCAAAAATAAAGACCAGTCCCAGCCCAGGAACGTTGGGCCTCAGAGCCTGGGAGTTTGTCATTGCTGGTAATTAGCTAGGCAAACCGGGTCTCAGATTTGCCAACTCACACCTGAACACAAATACCCCAAATTATCCAAATGCCCCTGACCATCCCACATTTCTGTTTGCCCTTTCACATGCTAGACCTGTGATTCTCAAACTCCACTGTGCCCAAGAATGACCTGGAGAACTTGTGAAAAGCCAGATCGCTGGGCCCCATCCCCAAAGATCCTGGCTCAGCGTGATGGTAGGGGGCCAAGATTCTGCATTTCTTTTTGTTTTTTGTCTTTTTTTTTTTTTTTTGAGACAGGGTCTCTTGCTCTGTTTCCCAGGCTTGAGTGCAGTGGTGCGATCATGGCTCACTGCAGCCTGTACCTCCTGGGCTCAAGCGATCCTCCCACCTCAGCCTGGAGAGTAGTTTGGACTGCAGATGTGCACCACCATGACCAGCTAATCTTATTTTTTGCAGAGACGAGGTCCCCCTGTGTTGCCCAGGCTAAGATTCTGAGTTTCTACCTGGCTCCTGGGTGCTGTTGCTGGCCTGGGACTATAATCTGAGTGTCAAAGGTCTAGAAAGCTTCTCGCACCCAGAAGCCATCCGGCCATGGATCCTGTATCAGACTGCTTGTTCTGACTTAGAATTCAGAAAATACACTCTCTGCAATAGAAACCCCTGGTTCTGCAAGCCGCCCTTCCCTGCCGACCTCCTCCCAGGAAAGACACATTGCCTGTGAGAGTGAAGACTATCACAGAGCTGGCAGGGCGTATTCGAACCCCATGAAACCCCCCAGTGAAGACCTACATGGTTTGCTTCTCTGGCCTCTCCACTGTCTGTCCCAGCACTGTTTTCCTGGCTCTTCTGTTGTTTTATAAACATTCTCCTCGCAGGTTTCATGTATGCTGTCTCTCCAGCTGCAAAGGGAACCCCACTGCAGGGGCCGTGTGTCCTCTACCTCCATGTTAGGTTTCGTTGGGTGAGTTAAATGTGGCTTGAAATAAGGACCCACCCGCAGCAGCCTGCTGGTAGAAGGGGCTGTGGCTTTAGGATTTACTCTGTGGCTTGGTCACTCCTCAAGGGGCTGTGAAACTGTCATTTTTCCTCCAGCCTTGGCCCTCATGTCATTGCACGCTCGGCCTATTCCCAGCAAGACGGAAACTACTCTTGGTGTCTCCAGACGAACCACAGAAAGGCGGCCCCATGGGAACAGCAGGTATCCCTGGGATCGGCGGTGAGACTCTAGCCGGAGGAGTGCAGGGGGCTCAGGCCACGGGCCCAGCAGCCATTGCTTTCCACTTGGCCTCCTGCTCAGCTCCCCACCGCGCCCAGGGTGCCTTTTTAGCTTCCTGCACCTATTTTATTGCAAAGCCAGTTACTCCTCCAGCCCTGCCTCAGTGCCTGGAATCTGCACATGCTGCCAAGGGCTGGGGCCAGAAAACTTTTCCAAACCTCTTTGACCATGGAAACCGCGCCCCACTTTCTAAAGCTGCATCTCATGGTCCCAGTGTTCTATGGAACAGACTTTGGGGATGGAGCTTGAATGGTGACTTAGAAATGACCTCACGGTATGTGATGGATCATTGTCAAAGAACTGAACACCTCCTTAAGTTCTCCTAGAATAATGAATTAGCTAACTGGAGATTTATTAGGTGCTAGGCACTGTTCTAGACACCTTATAAGAGTTCTGCATTCACAGGTTGGGCACGGTAGCTGACGCCTATAATCCCAGCACTTTGGGAGACTAAAGCACGTGGATCACTTGAGGTCAGTTCAAGGCCAGCCTGGCCAACATGATGAAACCCCGTCTCTACCAAAAATACAAAAATTAACCAGGTGTGGTGGCACACTTGCCTGTAATCTCAGCTACTCAGGAGGCTGAGGCAGGAGAATCGCTTGAACCTGGGAGGCAGAGGTCGCAGTGAGTCAAGATCGTGCCATAGCACCCCAGCCTGGGCAACAAGAGTGAAACTCCGTCTCAATAATAAGAAGAATAAGAATTATGCATTCACCACTCACAACACCCCTATCAAGGAAGAGTTATTATCCCCATTTTACAGGTGAAGAAATCAAGGCACAGAGACCTTAAGAAACTTTCCTAAGGTTGCCAAGGTGGTGAGAGGTGGAATAAGCAGATTTATCACCAGCTGCACTGCTACAGATGGAAGGGGAGAGCAGCAGTTCTCAGCCCCAGCTGCACCTGGAGTTACCCAGGGGAAAATCTATGAAGCCAGACCAAACTAAACAGAAGCTTTGTGGGTGGGCCCCCGGCCTTTGAATGCTCCCATGTGCCACGTGCAGCCAAGGTTGAGAGCAAGCAGGCTTGAGCAGGAGTTAGCAAACTGTGGCCCTTGGGCCAAATCTGCCCACTGCCTGTTTTTATGTAGTTGGCAAGCTAAGAGTGGTCTTGGCACTTTTAAACCGTTTTAGAAAATCAAAATATTGGCCCGGCCAGGTGACTCAAGCCTGTAATCCCAGCACTTTGGGAGGCCGAGGCGGGTGGATCATGAGGTCAAGAGATCGAGACCATGCTGGTCAACGTGGTGAAACCCCATCTCTACTAAAAATACAAAAAATTAGCTGGGCATGGTGGCGCATGCCTGTAATCACAGTTACTCAGGAAGCTGAGGCAGAATTGCCTGAACCCAGGAGGCGGAGGGTGCGGTGAGCCGAGATTGCACCATTGCACTTCAGCCTGGGTAACGAGAGCGAAACTCTGTCTCAAAAAAAAAAAAGAAAAGAAAATCAAAATATTAATATTTTGTGGCTGGGCATGGCGGCTCACACCTGCAATCCCAGCACTTTGTGAAGCCAAGGTCGGCAGATCACTGAGGTTAGGAGTTTAAGATCCGCCTGGCCAACATGGTAAAACTGCATTTCTAGTAAAAATACAAAAATTAACCAGGTGTGGTGGCACACACCTGTAATCCCAGCTACTCAGGAGGCTGAGGCAGGAGAATTGCTTGAAGCCGGAAGGCAGAGGTTGCAGTGGGCTGAGATAGAGGCACTGCACTCCAGCCTGGGCAGCAGAGAGAAACTCCACTTCCAAAAAAAAAAAAAGAATAAAAAGAGAATTTGTGACATGTGAAAATTACATGGAATTGAAAGGTGTGTCCACAGAGTTTTCCTGGAGCATAGCCATGGATTCATTACACACTGCCTGTCACTGCTTCCAGCTACGGCAGAGCTGAGTAGCTGTGGTGAGGATCAGGTGGCCTGCAAAGCCTAAAATATTTATTTGGTTCTTCACAGTTAAAGTTTGCTCAACGCTGGATTAGAGGATATTGGCTTCTGGACAACCAAAATAAATTTAAGATAGACCTAAGGAAGAACTTCCTGGCAGAGAGGTTGGTTAAACACTTGAGAGGGCTTTGGGATTCCCAACTCTGGAGTAAAGAGGATTCCACCCACCCCATCCCTCTTTGGAAATGCCAATTAGAGATAGCTAGGGTGAAGAGATCGGCCTTGAACTTCCAACCATGGAACGGCCCTGGCCGGCAGTGACAGTCACAGATAAAAAATCAAGGCACATGCATCTCCATGGATGATGTCCTAGGACCATCTAACAGCTGTCCCCCAGCCACAGCAATGCTGGGTTTTCTTCCCACAGTTCTCGCCCCACAGAGCCAGCACAGTCTCCAGTCAGGCACTTAATGTGAGGCACACACAGCATGTGGGTTGTCTGGTCTCAAGTACAAAGCTATGAAACCCCATCTCTACTAAAAACACAAAAATTAGCTGGGCATGGTGGCAGGCGCCTGTAATCCCAGCTACTCAGGAGGCTGAGGCAGGAGAATCACTTGAACCCAGGAGGCAGAGGTTGCAGTGAGCCAAGATCATGCCATTGCACTCCAACCTGGGCGACAGAGTGAGACTACGAAACTGGCTGATCTTCCTTTCTAAATGTTTTAGTTTTTTGTTTTTTTTGGAGTCTCACTCTGTCACCCAGGCTGGAGTGCAATGGCACGATCTCAGCTCATCGCAACCTCCACCTCCTGGGATCAAGTGATTCTCCTGCCTCAGCCTCCTGAGTAGCTGGGATTGCAGGTACCTGCCAACCCCAGAGATGGGGTTTTACCATGTTGGCCAGGCTGGTCTCGAACTCCTGACCTCAAGTGATCTGCCTACCTTAGCCTCCCAAAGTGCTGGGATTTCAGGCATGAGCCTTTGCGCCCAGCATTAATTTTTGTATTTTTGGTAGAGACAGGGTTTTGCCATGTTGGCCAGGCCAGTCTCGAACTCCTGACCTCAAGTGATCTGTCCACCTGGACCTCCAAAAGTCCTGGGATTACAAGCATGCCCGCTATATCTGCCTTTAAGCTAGCCTGCTTTGATCTCCCAGTTCCCTTGCCCTCTCTGCTCCTCCTCACAAGATTCCCACGCCCATCACACTTGGACAGAGTCAGAACAAGCATATTTAGTTTCTTCTATATCTGCCTGCTTTCCTTGGTGCCTGACCCTGACCCTGGCTGATTTTCCCAGTACAGTAAACATCCCTGGCATCTTATGGGCATGATCCAGGCCAGTGAGGAATTTGGCCAGGAAAGGCTTTTGTCATTTGCAACCTGGTTTGCCCTGGAACAGAGGGCTGGCCAGAAGTAAGATGCCAAGTGTGGAGGAGGAGGGTTAAATGGTTCTCCTGAAGTGACCTGAAGTCAGATCTGCTGGGACAGATGTTCTGGGTGGGCACTGTGGGTCTGGCCTGTTAGGGATAGTTAAGCTTCCGATGGTACCTCATTTTCAGGGAGCCTCAACTTCCCAGTGGGCTCTGCTCCAAAAATATGGAGTGGGGTCCAGGGATGGTTTTGCGGTCCTGGAAATCACTATACTGTATGCAAAGTGGGTAAACATGGGCAATATGTATGGGTTTTTTCGAGTCCATGCTTACGTCAGAACCTCTGGGGTGGAGGCTCTCCAGAAATCTGTAACATGCCCATCCCAGGACTGGATGAGCAGGACCATAGGGATATAATGTCCAACATGATTCTTTTTCCCAAACACTTCATATCCCATGATGTCAGCTATCGGACCACAGGGATCAATCTGCCCAACTTATTCCCGCAAGCAAGTAGGTGCTTAAGGTCCAGTTTGTTTTGTTTTTAAACATGATACACTTTTGTCCAGGGAAGGCAGAGAACTGTCAAGTTATTCCAGCCACAGAAGAAGGGACTACCAGGATGCGAGCCTCTCTTGTCAAAAGGCTTGGTGGATCTGGAAGAAATTCTTGGTTGTGGAGAGGGAAGAACGTGGGCTTGGAGCTGGACAGCCTTGGCCCAGGTTTAGTTCCTTGCTCTGCCATGTACTTCCCGGGACCTCTCAGTGAGGTCCCTGGACCAGCAGCATCGCATGCCTTAGGAGCTTGTTAGAGCACAAAGCCCACTGAGTCAGATGGTTTTTTTTTTTTTTTTTTTTTGAGACAGAGTTTCACTCTTGTCCCCCACACTGGAGTACAGTGGTGCCATCTCTGCTCACTGCAACCTCCACCTCCCAGGTTCAAGCGATTCTGGTGCCTCAGCCTCCATGTAGCTGGAATTAAAGGTATATGTCACCATGCCTGGCTAATTTTTGTATTTTTAGTAGAGACGGGGTGGCCAGGCTGGTCTGGAACTCCTGACCTCAGGTGATCCACCGGCCTCACCTCCCAAAGTGCTGGGATTACAGGGTGAGCCACCATGCCCAGCCAGATATACATTTTTAACTGGACCGCCAGGTTACTCTTAGCATGTTTAGGTTTGAGAAGCATTGACCTGGGACCCTGGACAAGTCAAGTCAAACCTCCAGCCTGCATCAGGGTCCTCACCTGCGGCGTGGTGATAATACCTACTTGAAAAGGTCGTTGTGATACTTCAATGAGATAAAGTAATCCAGGGCTTAGCACAGTGCTAAGCCCTGGATTACACAGTACATAGGAGGTGTTCCATATTCATTTCCTGTCGGTGGACCTACTTTCGGGAAGTTTAAATTTCTTTTCCACTCTCAAAAACGCCTCTTGGTTTTGAACCTGAAGCTGTTGCAGTGCTGGAGTCGGACAGTAGAGGGCACTCTCGGCATTGCCATCACGGAGAACAGGACACGCGGAGGCTGCGTGGGTCCCGACTGTGGGTGTGCGGGTGCTGGGGGCCGGCTGCTGGGCACCCATCCAGGTCGTTCGCGGAGCGGCTCCCCTCCTGGGGTTGAGTGTCCTGGGCCTGAGCCTGCAGCCTCAGCCATCCGTTCCCCTACTTGATCTTCCACTGCTAGTTACAAACAATCGCCCAGCTTGTGCAAACCTCCTGGGCTCAGTCCCCAGTCCCGCGGGGTGCTAGACGTTGATGAAGGATCCCCGGTCGCCGTTGGCCGTCTCGGGCTCCACGCAGCGCCCTTTCCTCCGTGTAACCCTGCGGTTCCGGTGGAATTTGGCATAGCAGCGCAGCCCTGGGAGAAGGGAGGCAAGGAGGTCTGAGGCGCAGAGGGCTGGAGTCCTCCCATTCCTTCCCCTGCATGCTCTGGGGCCCACCAGCTCTCTCCCGCCGCCTTCTTTTTTTTTTTTTTCTTTCGAGAGGAAGTCTCACTCGATCACCCAGACTGGAGTGCAGTGGAAAGATTTCCACTAAGAGCTCACTGCAACCTCTACCTCCTGGGTTCAAGCAATTCTCCTGCCTCAGCCTCCTGAGTAGCTGGAATTTACAGGCATGTGCCACCATGCCAGGCTAATTTCTTTTTTGTATTTTTAGTAGAGACGGGGTTTCACCATTTTGGCCAGGCTGATCTTGAACTCCTGACCTTGTGATCCTCCCGCCTTAGCCTCCCAAAGTGCTGGAATTACAGGCGTGAGCCACCACACCCAGCCTTTCCTGGCTTTTTTATTCTGTCCTGCAACCCACCCAGCCTCCTCATGGCAGCCCCATTGAGCTTAAAAGACTCATTCCTCTGGGAGAGGGGAGGAATGAACATGGAAGGAGCGTGGAGAGGACTCAGGGCAGTGAAAATATACTGTGTCACATGTAATGATGGGACATAGCATGCATTTGTCAAAACCCATGAATGCACCACACAGTGAACCCTAATGTACACGATGACTTCAGTTAGTAATAATAATCTATCATTATTGGTTCGTCAAGCAACAGATGTACCACAGGAGGCCAGGCGCGGTGGCTCACGCCTTCCCAGCACTTTGGAAGGTGGAGACGGGCAGATCACTTGAGGTCAGGAGTTTGAGACCAGCCTGGCCAGCATGGTGAAACCCTGTCTCTACTAAAAAAGTACAAAAACTAGGCCAGACGTGGTGGCTCAAGCCTGTAATCCCAGCACTTTGGGAGGCTGAGGCGGGTGGATCATGAGGTCAAGAGATCGAGACCATCCTGGTCAACATGGTGAAACCCCGTCTCTACTAAAAATACAAAAAAATTAGCTGGGCATGGCAGCGCGTGCCTGTAATCCCAGCTACTCAGGAGGCTGAGGCAGGAGAATTGCCTGAACCCAGGAGGCGGAGGTTGCAGTGAGCCGAGATCGCGCCATTGCACTCCAGCCTGGGTAACAAGAGCGAAACTCTGTCTCAAAAAAAAAAAAAGAGTACAAAAACTAGCCAGGCGTGGTCGTGGGCGCCTGTAATCCCAGCTACTCGAGAGGCTTAGGCAGGAGAATCACTTGAACCTGGGAGGCGGAGATTGCAGTGAGATGGCGCCACTGCACTCCAGTCTGGGCAACAGTGCAAGACTGTCTCAAAAACAAAACAAATGTACCACAGGACGGCAAGATTTTTCTTTTTTTTTTGAGACGGAGTCTCACTCTATCGCCCAGGCTGGAGTGCAATGGTGTAATCTCAGCTCACTGCAACCTCCACTTCCTGGGTTCAAGCGATTCTCCTGGCTCAGCCTCCGGAGTAGCTGGGATTACAGGCACCCACCACCACGTCTGGCTAATTTTTTGTATTTTTAGTAGAGATGGGTTTCACCACATTGGCCAGGATGGTCTTCAACTCCTGACCTCAGGTGATCCACCTGCCTTGGCCTCCCAAAGTGCTGGGATTACAGGCGTGAGCCACTGTGCCCAGCTGCAAGATGTTATTAATAGGGGAAACTGCATGCAGGGGCAAAGAAGGTATATAAGAACACCACAGTCTGTGCAATTTTGCTAGAAAACTGCTTAAAAAATAAAGTCCACAGGTTGTGGTGGCTCATACCGGTAATCCCAGCATTTTGAGAGACTGCGGTGGGAGGATCCCTTGAACCCAGGGGTTCCAGACCAGCCTAATCAACATAGGGAGACTCCATATCTCTACAAAAAATGTAAAAATTAGCCAAGCATTGTGGCACACACCTGTAGTCCCAACTACAAAAGAGGCTAAAGTCAGAGGATCCCCTGAGTCCAGGAGTTCGAGGCTGCAGTGAGCCTTGATTGTGCCACTGTACTTCAGCCTGGGCAATACAGTGAGACGCTGCCTCAAAAAAATTAAAAAATAAAATACACACACAAATTCAATTAAAAGGTCTATAATTTTGGAAAATTGAAAAGGAAAAAGTTTAGTAATTTTTTTTAAGTGGCTTAAATTCTGCCCTTCCCTGCAAAACCTCCATGGCTCTCCACTGCTTTTTTTTTTTGAGACAGAGTTTCACTCTCGTTACCCAGGCTGAAGTGCAATGGCGTGATCTCAGCTCACCGCAACCTCTGCCTCCTGGGTTCAGGCAATTCTCCTGCCTCAGTCTCCTGAGTAGCTGGGATTACAGGCACGTGCCACCATGCCCAGCTAATTTTTTGTATTTTTAGTAGAGACGGGGTTTCATCATGTTGACCAGGATAGTCTTGATCTCTTGACCTCGTGATCCACCTGCCTCGGCCTCCCAAAGTGTTGGGATTACAGGCTTGAGCCACCGCGCCTGGGCAATTTTTATTTTTTGTGATGGAGTTTCACTCTTGTCACCCAGGCTGGAGTGCAGGCACCATCCTGGGTCACTGCAACCTCTGCCTCCTGAGTTCAAGTAATTCTCCTGCCTCAGCTTCCCAAGAAGATGGGATTACAGGCATACACCACCACACCCAGCTAATTTTGTACTTTTTTAGTAGAGATGGAGTTTCACCATGTTGGGGAGGCTGCTCATGAAATCCTGACCTCGAATGATCTGTCTGCCTCAACCTCCCGAAGTGATGGGATTGCAGCTGTGAGCCACTGTGCCTGGCCTCCATTTCTTTTTTTCAGAGAAGGTCTTGCTCTGTTGCTGGGACTGGAATGAGTGGCAAGATCTCAGCTCACTGCAACTTCTGCCTTCTAGGCTCAAGTGATCCTCCTTGCTTCAGCCTCCCAAGTAGCTGGTACCACAGGTGTGCGCCACCACACTCAGCTAATTTTTTTTTTTTTTGTATTATTAGTAGAGATGGGGTTTCTCCATGTTGGTCAGGTTGATCTCCAACTCCCAACCTCAGGTGATCCACCCACTCGGCCTCCCTAAGTGCTGGAATTATAGGTATGAACTAACCCGTCTGGCCTCCAATGCCCACTTCTGTCTACACTTTCTAAAACAACTGCAGGACTCATTAGCATATTATTATCTTTTTTTTTTTTTTTTTTGAGACAGAATCTTGCTCTGTCGCCCAGGCTGGAGTGCAGTGGTGCTATCTCGGCTCACCACAACTTCCGCCTCCCGGGTTCAAGCGATTCTCCTGCCTCTGCCTCTGGAGCAGCTGGGACTACAGGCAAGTGCCACCACACCTGGCTATTTTTTTTTTTTTTTTTTTTTTTGGTATTTTTAGTAGAGATGGGGTTTCACCATGTTAGCTGGTCTCAATCTCCTGACCGCAAGGTGATCCACCCACCTTGGCCTCCCAAAGTGCTGGGATTACAGTCGCAAGCCACTGCGCCTGGCCCATATTATTATCTTTACAGCCCTTATTACTTTATAAAGACATTCTGTCTGGCTGGGTGCTGTGGCCAATGCCTGTAATCCCAGCACTTTGGGAAGCCGAGGCGGGCGGATCACCTGAGGTTGGGAGTTCAAAACCAACCTAACCAACATGGAGAAACCCCGTCTCTACTAAAAATACAAAATTAGCTGGGTGCCATGGTGGGAGCCTGTAATCCCAGCTACCCTTGAGACTGAGGCAGGAGAATCACTTGAACCCAGGAGGCAGAGGTTGCGGTGAGCCGAGATCGCTTCATTGTACTCCAGCCTGGGCAATAAGAGCAAAACTCCGTCTCAAAAAAAAAAAAAAAAGACATTCTGTCTACATATTTGATTGTTGTCTGCTCATATCACTAGAATGTAATTCATGGGCACAGAACTTGCTGGTTCTTTTCACTACTGAACCCCCAACATCCAGAACAATGCCTGATACACAGTAGGCGCTACATAAATATTTAACTGATTAGATGAGTGAATAATCAGAACTACATAGTTTTATTGCCGAGGCAGGAGGATCCCTTGAGCCAGGGAATTAATGCTACAGTGAGCTGGGATTGTGCCACTGCACTCCACCCTGTCTCAAAAAATAATTAAATTAAATTTAAAAGTCTACAATTTTAAAAATTGGGAAGGAGAAAGTTTATTATCTTTTTTTTTTTTTTTGAGACGGAGTTTCTCTCTTGTTACCCAGGCTGGAGTGCAATGGCGCGATCTCGGCTCACTGCAACCTCCGCCCCCTGGGTTCAGGCAATTCTCCTGCCTCAGCCTCCTGAGTAGCTGGGATTACAGGCATGCACCACCATACCCAGCTGATTTTTTGTAATTTTTTTAGTAGAGACGGGGTTTCACCATGTTGGCCAGGCTGGTCTTGAACTCCCAACCTCGTGATTTGCCCACCTCGGCCTCCCAAAGTGCTGGGATTACAGGCGTGAGCCACCACGCCCAGTCAAGAGTATTTGTCTTTCAAATATACACATTAAATATACACATTTTAAATATACACATTAAAATATTCACAGATGAAGTAACTGTAAGCTCTCAGGAGTTGCTTACAAATCATGTCAGAATAAGGAAAGTGGGTAAGAGGTGACACAGATTGACCACGAGTTAGTATCTGCAGAGGCAGAGTAATGAGCAATGGGCGTTCATTAGACTATTCTGACTACTTCAGTATATATTTGAAACTTTGCAGAATACAAACTGTAAACTGGCCAGGTGTGGTGGCTCATGCCTGTAATCCCAGAACTTCGGGAGGCCAAGGCAGGTGGATCACTTGAGGTCAGGAGTTTGAGACCAGCCTGGGCAACATGGCGAAACCCGTCTCTACCAAAAATATGAAAATTAGCTGGCCTGGTGGCATGGGCCTGTAGACCGAGCTACCTGAGGGGCTGAGATGGGAAGACCACCTAAGCCTGGGAGGCAGAGGTTGCAGTGAGCCAGAACTGCACCACTGCACTCCAGCCTGGGTGTCAGAGTAAAACCCTGTCTCAAACAAACAAACCCTGAAACTATTCCCCCCACTTTCCTGGCTGTGTCAGTTTGGGCATCATGAAGCTTTCTGTGCCCCAGTTTGCTTATTTGTGTAGTGGGGATCACCACAGCCCCTTTCTAGGGGTAGCCATGGGGATTTCAGTAGAAAAGTGCTCAGCACAGATCCAGCACACCTAGGCGAGGTGGCAGCATGGAAGAGTTAAAGAGGCAGGTGGCCAAGTGCATGCTTCCCAGGGACATGCTGGGAAACCCACCCCCACCCCGTTATCACACTTGGAATGCCTCCCCTGGGATAGAATTTGGGTGTGAAAGCGGCAGCCTTCTGAGGCTGGATCTAATTTAAAGAGATGTGCTCCTGTCTCCTCCCTCCTCCCTCCTCTAGATAGTAGGCGATCTCGCCAGCTTGTATTTCAAAAGTTGAGAAAAGCAAATCTCAGAAATGATGCCAAGAATTGGGACTAAATGAGTTCACAGATTGGGAAGGCACAGATAAAGCTGTTCTTGCTCGTCTTCGGCTCCCAAGGGATTCTCCCACCTACTCCCCTCCCACGCAGGCCCTCGATCCACCCTCTGCTGGGAAAGCTTGTCCCCCATTCAGTGCAGAGCCAGCTTTGAGAAAGGGAGGCTTCGTGGTTCTCAGAGCCTCGGGAGCCCCCTGCAAAGGAGTCTGGACCCACCTTCCACACACATGCAGTCGTCGAAGCATTTGTTGTTGAGGCCTCGGTTGTGGGGTGTGCAGAGATGCTCCCGCAGGTCGCAGCAAGTCCCTGACAACACAGAGACACACGCAGTCAGCCAAGCCGAGCCGCCCCTCCCCAAAGCCCTGCACTCGGTCCCACTGGACAAGAGATCCATCATCTCCGTGGCAGGCTGTGCCTGGCAGGGTGGGCCATCTGGCAAGGCTCCTGGGTGGAACCGCAGATGGATGTCATGGCCGAGGCCCCCAAGGGTTGGCGGCAGAGACCCCAGATGCCTCAGATAGGCAATTGATTGATCGTGGGAAGAGCAAAGGTGGTGTGACAGAGCGGATTGAACGTTTGGGGGCTGCCAGGTGTGGAGTCAGCTCACAGCTAGGAGGGGCCTCAGGATCCCTGACACCAACGTCCTCTTTTGACAGATGGGGAAACTGAAGCCCTGGGCACCTGCCATGGAGCCAGCTCCCAGGCGACTGACCAGTCTGCCCAAACTCGGGCCTTTTCTTTGAGCCCAGGGTGAAAACAATGGTTTGGGAACGAAGCAGCCTGTCAGGGAGTTGGTGTTCTGCCTTCTACGATGCTAACTGCTGGTTTGGTTGCTGTTTTGTGGAATATTCTGGTCACCTATCTAACAGTCGTGGTGCCATGGAGGTGTGCCACTCGGATGTCTCCTGGGGAAGGCGCTTGCTGGTGGCCTCCAGCTGGTAGCAGCTTCAGGACCACCTTGGCCCATGGCAGGCTGCTCCCCACAGCCCCTGCCAATGACAGGCATGGGGGTTCTGGGGCCCCGGCCATTTCTGCTCAGGATGGGCCTTATCTTTTTTTTTTTTGATAAGGAGTTTAGCTGTTGTTACCCAGACTGGAGTGCAATGGCGCGATCTCGGCTCACTGCAACCCCTGCCTCCTGGGTTCAAGCAATTCTCCTGTCTCAGCCTCCCGAGTAGCTGGGACTACAGGCGCGCACCACCATGCCCAGCTAATTTTTGTATTTTTAGTAGAGACGGGGTTTCATCAATTTGACCAGGATGGTCTCAATCTCTTGACCTCGTGATCCACCCACCTCGGCCTCCCAAAGTGCTGGGATTATAGGCGTGAGCCACGGCGCCTGGCCCAGGATGGGCCTTATCTAACAGGCCACCTCTGCACCGGAGCGCCCATCACACCCCGAAGACCTTGCATGATGTCTGAAGCTTCCTCCATCCAATCTGACCTCCTCCCACTTTCCTCATTCATAAGTGTTTCCCACCCCCAGCCCACCCCAAAATAAATCTGCTGTACTTTTTGTTTTGTTTTGCTGAGACAGGGTCTTGCTCCATCACCCAAGCTGGAGAGCAGTGGGGTGATCACATCTCGCTGTAGACTTGACCGCCCAGGCTCAAGTGATCCTCCTGCCTCAGCCTCCCGAGTAGCTGGAAACAGGCGCACACCAGCAAACCCAGCTAATTTTTAAAATTATTATTATTTGTAGAGACAGAGTCTTCCCATGTTGGCCAGGCTGGTCTTGAACTCCTGTGCTTATGCGATCCTCCCGCCTCGGCCTCCATAGTGCTGGGATTATAGACATGAGCCACTAAGCCCAGCCTCACACTTGTGGCTTACTTCAGTATCTGCTTCCTGGAGGGCGTGACATACACTCAAGGGCCAGGGGTTTAGGGTATTAGTTCCAATGTCCGGCTTCTTGTTTTTAGACTGTCTCCATGGGGACAGCTGCTGAACAGTGAGGATGTCACCAAAAACATCCCCAGAATGCCCGGCAGTGCAGTGAGGGGACAAGGACAGTGTTAAGCTCTGCCTGGTGTCAGGAGGAAGAGGGTGAGAGGATCATCTGACCTAAGGCAGTGTGGGGCTGTGGTGGACAGGCTTTCCAGCCAGGCTGACCCAGCTTGGAGCCACTTCTTAACTGTGTGACCCTGGGCAAGAACTGCCCCTCTGGGGCTCAATCCTCTGGCTTGAAAACTGGGTTGTTGTGAGTAATGTATTATTTTTTATTTTTTTGACACTGAGTTTCGCTCTTGTTGTCCAGGCTGGAGTGCACTGGTGTGATCCCAGCTCACTGCAACCTCCGCCTCCCAGGTTCAAGTGATTGAATCTCCTGTCTGAGCCTCCGGAGTAGCTGGGATTACAGGCGTGAGCCACCACGCCCAGCTAATTTTTGTATTTGTAGTAGAGATGGGATTTCACCATGTTGGCCGGGCTGGTCTTGAACACCTGATCTCAAGTGATCCACCCACCTCAGCCTCCCAAAGTGCTGAGATTACAGGCGTGAGCCACTGTGCCTGGCTGTGAGTAATGTATTAAATGAATTATTGTCTGATGGCAACTCTCAGGAAAGTGGCAGCTGTTGTTGTTATTTATCATCCATGAAGGATCCTCAGGTTCTGCACACATGGGAACCCCCACTTCCACCCAGGTTTCCTCCCAGCACCCAGCCTGGTGCCTTGAATGTGGGTGCTGGCTGGTACCTGGCAGGCAGTCTTGGTGATGGTCGCATGGTTCCCCTTCGGCTGGTGATGTTTCGTTACCATCACTGGAGAGCTTACTCCGGTGTTTCTCTGGGGACAAGATCTGTCGTCAGAAACTGGGGCCCAACGGAGCAGAGGTTGAGCACAGGGACTCAGGTGTGAAAGTGCTCATGCCACCACCCCACCGTGTGGCTTGGACAAGGCACTAGACCCCTCTCTCTCTCTGCCTCAGTTTTCTCTCCTCTAAAATGGGATCCGCAATACTATAGACCTAACAGGTATTTTCCCCCAGGGTAACGTGAGTGGAAACAAGGAAGTGTGTGGCACGTGACAAGCACGTGACCGCATTCTACATTCCAAGCGCGTTTCCACGTTGGACTCCATGCTCCTCCACTCCCTGAGTCCCAGCTTTGGACATCTGAAGATGAGACAGGGCTCACTGGGACCCCACCTCAACAGATAGTGCCAGAGGGCAGGGCGTCCAGGCTTGGAAGGTGATGGGGTAGGTGGGCATACCTTTCTTCTTTGCAGAGGGCCAGCCATCAGGTTTTAAATCTTCATAATCGGTCCAGTCGAACAAGGCCATGTCCAGTGTGGGCATCACCTCCCCGTCAGGCCTGGGCTGTGCCTGCCGGAGACAGTGGAGAAGGCAGATGTTGGATCCTTCAAATCCATGGAAGCAGGAGTGTGGGGTCCCAAGGCCAGAGGCCAAAGGAGCCGCTTCTCAGAGGCCACCTCATCCTCTGCTGGGCAGCCTGGAGTCTCAGCCCAAGGACATAAAGACGGCTGTCCGAGGCTCCTGTTCCAATGGCCACTAGGGCCATTCCTTCCCTGTGCAGCCATTACTCAAGAGAGCTCATGCAGACATACACAGGTAAATTACCCACCAGGCCCTCTGAGGAGGGGCAGAGGCCACCCACAGGCTGGGAAGGCAATTTTTTTTTTTTTTTTTTTTAAGACAGAGTCTTGTTCTGTTGCCCAGGCTGTAGTGCAGTGGTGTGATCTTGGCTCACTGCAACCTCCACCTCCCGGGTTCAAGTGATTCTCTTGCCTCAGTCTCCTGAGTAGCTGGGACTACAGGCATGTGCCACCACGCCTGGCTAATTTTTTGTATTTTGAGTAGAGACGGGGTTTCACTGTGTTAGCCAGGATGGTCTCAATCTCCTGACCATGTGATCCACCCGATTTGGCCTCCCAAAGTGCTAGGATTACAGGCATGAGCCACCGCGCTCGGCCGTGAAGACAATCTTGCTTGCTCACGGTCTTTAAGCCCACCAGGAGGGAGGTGGATGTAGCCCAGCCACTCACTGGACCTTCCTATCTCTTCCTCTCCCTGCAGAGGTTGCCAGCTCTCTGCGGCACCACTGAGGCCACAACCAGGGCTCAGTCCCACTCACAGCCTGAGCCAGTGGCCCCAGGAATGCAGAGGGCTAGAGGTCATGGCTGGATCTACACACGGGCATGTACGGGCACGTGCGGGCACGAGGACATGGACAAGAGCTGCACCTTCTAGGCTGGGCTGCAGGGGGCCTTGGACAACAAGATGGATAACCATGTATTCGTGGGAAACTGTCTGCAGCTTTCTCACAATCTCAAGGGAGTGCAAGACCCGAAAAAAGGATAAGAAAGATTTGATGCTAAAAAAAGTTTTATTTGGCTGGGCATGGTGGCTCATGCCTGTAATCCCAGCACTTTGGGAGGCCAAGGCGGGTGGATCACGAGGTCAAGAGATCGAGACCATCCTGTTCAACAAGGTGAAACCCCGTCTCTACTAAAAATACAAAAATTAGCTGGGCATGGTGGTGCACGCCTGTAGTCCCAGCTACTCGGGAGGCTGAGGCAGGAGAATTGCTTGAACCCAGGAGGCGGCAGTTGGGGTGAGCCGAGATTGTGCCATTGCACTCCAGTCTGGGTAACAACAGCGAAACTCCGTCTCAAAAAAAAAAAAGTTTTATTTATTTTGTATTTTTGTAGAGACAGGGTTTCACCATGTTGGCCAGGCTGGTCTCAAACTCCTGACCTCAGGTGATCCGCCCGCCTCAGCCTCCCAAAGTGCTGGGATTACAGGCGTGAGCCACCAACTGCGCCTGGCCTATTTCTTTTTTATGTATTATTTCTTATATATTATTGATCCTTTTAAATAATTTTATTTGGAAAACCTTTCAAAGCCACAGAAGAGGTGCAAGAATGATGCAGTAAGCTCCTATAACCCCTCTTCTAGAATCGCCGGTGGGGAGTGTTTTTGCCACATTTGCTCGCTTACTTTCTCTCTCTATATTTTTTTTCCTTGAGACAGGGTCTCACTCTGTCGCCTGGGCTGGAGTGCAGTAGTGCGATCATGGCTCACTACAGTCCTGACCTCCTGGGCTCAAGCGATCCTCTCACCTCAGCCTCCCCAGTAGCTGGGACTACAGGCACACACCCTCATGCCTGGCTAATTTTTTAATTTTTAAATTTATTTTTTATTTTTTATGTTTTTTTGAGACGGAGTTTCGCTGTTGTTACCCAGACTGGAGTGCAATGGCACGATCTCGGCTCACCGAAACCTCTGCCTCCTGGGTTCAAGCAATTCTCCTGCCTCAGCCTCCCGAGTAGCTGGGACTACAGGCGCGCACCACCATGCCCAGCTAATTTTTGTATTTTTAGTAGAGACGGGGTTTCACCTTGTTGACCAGGATGGTCTCGATCTCTTGACCTCATGATCCACCCGCCTCGGCCTCCCAAAGTGCTGGGATTATAGGCGTGAGCCACCGTGCCCGGCCTGCCTGGCTAATTTTTTAAAAGTTTTGTAGACACAGGGTCTCACTATGTTGCCCAGGATAATCTCGAATTCCTGGGCTCAAGTGACCCTCCCGCCTTGGCCTTCTACAGTGTTGGAATTACAGGTGTGAGCCAACACGCCCGGCCCACATATCTTTGTTAAAGATCTGAGGCAGATGGGTCCAAGTGGTAGCGAATGCTTATTAAATCTGGGTCTTGAGGACATGGTTTTTAAATATCACCATTATTGGCCGGGCACAGTGGCTCATGCCTGTAATCCCAGCACTTTGGGAGGCCAAAGTGGGCGGATCACGAGGTCAGGAGATTGAGGTCAACTGACCAACATAATGAAATCCTGTCTCTGCTAAAAATACAAAACTTAGCCGGGTGTGGTGGCAGGTGCCTATAGTCCCAGCTACTTGGGAGGCTGAGGCAGGAGAATTGCTTGAACCTGGGAGGTAGAGATTGACGTGAGCCGAGATCATGCCACTGCACTCCAGTCAGGCAACAGATCAAGACTCCGTTTCAAAAAAAAAAAAAAACGTAAAAATCTCCATTATTATGCTTCATGCCCCTTTGTATGCAGAAAGCTCCTCCCCAGGCCTCACTGCTCTCCACGCAGACACCAGCGTGCAGAACCGCCACTTGCCTCCTTGGCTGTCCCCAGAGTGGCCCCCGGGACCACTTTGTCCTGGATAATGGCAGTCTCCTGTCAGGAGGAGCACCCGCCAGGGCTGGAGCTAGACTGGATGGGCAGCATGAGATCTGGTTTCAATCTAAGCTCTGTGGCCTCCTGCCCCCATGCCTCAGTCTCCCTGCATGCATTAAGAGGGATTTTCATGACATGGGCTCAGGGACCCTTCCAGCTCTGAGGCTGTTTGAGGACCCCTTACCTGGGGCCGCAGGGAGGTGATGGGCAGGATCAGGGACTCTTCTGTGGCAGGTGCTGCCTCAAAGGTGGTGAGGAAGAACATGGTGGGGGCCAGGCTGGTAGAGGATTCCTCCATGGCTGCATCCAGCGCCTGGGCTTCAGAGAGCTCTGCCTTCTTCATCAGGGAGCTGGGACCTCGAACCAATGCTCGGCCTGAGACACAGGGCGGGGAGCACAGAGGCTGCATCTGCTTGCTGCCTCGTGGCAGTCTGTAGTAGAACCCATGTTTTATGCTGCAATCCGGGAGGCAGCAGGAACTGTGTGACAAGCCCTTGGTTGGGCCCCATCCCTGCTTCCTACCCTTCTCAGGAGGGGGAAATGGGGAACTCGGAGGAAAATGTCTTGGAAGAACTTACGGTGTCACTGGGGAGACAGCCCAGGGATTCTCCCTGTAAAGCAACATTCCAGCAAGTCCAAGCCCATGACTTGCTCTGTCACCCAGGCAGGAGCACAGTGACATGATCTCAGCTCACTGCAATCTCCGCCTCCAGGGTTCAAGTGATTCTCCCACCTCAGCCTCCTGAGTAGCTGGGATTACAGGCATGTGCCACCATACCTGGCTAATTTTTGTATTTTTGGTAGAGATGGGGTTTCTCCATGTTCTAGGCTGGCCTAGAACTCCTGGCCTCAAGTGACCTGCCTGCCTCAGCCTCCCAAAGTGCTGGGATTACAGGCATGAGCCACCATGCCTGGCCTGGCCTCAGGTGTCACAGCCAGCTGTCAGCAGATCTTCTCTGTTCCTGCCTCCTCCTCACCCTATCAAATCTCCCAGGAGGCCCCGCTGCAGCCCTGGAGCTGGGGGAGCAGGAACCCAGCAGGACGGGTCCACACCCCATGTGTGCCCTCCAGCTGTTCTCAAGGGTGCCAGTGTCCTCCCCCTGAAAGCTGACACAGGTGACCCCAGGAGTGGGAGGCTGAAAGTTGAGGCTGGGGACCACGTCTCACCTCAGCTCACCTGCGGGGTTCTCAGTAGGCCTTGCAGGGAAGCCAGCCCCAGTTGTTTGCACAAGAAGGGCCATTGAGGCTCCATTGCCTTCCTGCCGAAGAACCCTGCCACTCTGTTTGTGGCACTCAGCATGCCCCTAGAGGCAGTCTTGTCACAGAGAGCTTAGAAGCCCAGTTCCCTGACTTAGGGCCAGGCAAGGCTGGGAGGAGCCACTTGGGTGGAGCTAATGGGTACCGGGAGGGGAGAGCCTGGGCCAGCAGGGGGCAGGCTGGCTCCCAGGGGATGTGGGGTAAATGTTAAGGAAGGTGGGAAGGGCTGGGGGGCACCCAGATGAACAAGGCAGAGGCAGGAGGGGTAGGCAAGTGACGCCTCTCCTGGAGTCACCTGCATCCGGGTTGGAGGACACTGATTTGGCATCAGGAGGGAGCTGGGATTAACCAGAACAACAGGCTGGGCGCGGTGGCTCACGCCTGTAATCCCAGCTCTTTGGGAGGCCAGGCAGGCAGATCACCTGAGGTCTGGAGATCAAGACCAGCCTGACCAACATGGAGAAACCCCATCCTACTAAAAATACAAAATTAGCCGGCCTGGTGGTGCATGCTGTAATCCCAGCTACTCAGGAGGCTGAGGCAGCAGAGTCGCTTGAACCCGGGAGGTAGAGGTTACAGTGAGCCCAGACTGCGCCACCGCACTCCAGCCTGGGCGACAGAGTGAAACTCCGTCTCAAAAAAAAAAAAAAAACAAAAAAAAAACAGAACAATAACTCATGGCCCTGCCAGCTGAGCTCCAAGTGTCCCACTAATCAAGTTCTCTGCAACGACACTGAGGGTAGACAGGACCAGTCTCCTCACTTTTCAGAGGGGAAACTGAGGAACAGAAAGATAACTTGCCCAGGCCCACACCCAAATAAGTGGTGGAGACAGGACCTGATCTCGGGCAGACCTGGCTTCAGAGTCTAGGTTCTTACCCCCACCCGGTGCTTCAGAGTTGAGTAAGGAATATGCTTGGAGGGCATGGAACTGTTCCATCTCTACTCAGAACTTAAAGCAGGAGAAATTTAGGTCAGATACAAAGTAGAACTTCCTGATTCAGGAGGACGATCTGCTAATAAGACAGATTCTATTGCAACACATCTCTCTCCCCTTCCCATGCTCTATCCCCAGGCCTCTCCCAGCCTCCCCCCCTTACCAGGTCCCTCTGGCTTCAGGGACACCTCTTCTCTCCTCTGGATGTCCTCCCAGGGACCTCACACCTCTGACCCTTCCCTGCATCGTTTCCTGCTCCCCTCAGTCCACAGCAGGAAGCCCCCCATCCCCACCCCTCCCAGTTCTCCAGCTACCTCTGTGCAGCCTCAGCCTGTCCCTGCGCCTCTTGTGCTCCCTGCTGCGTTTCCTGGCCCTCTCCCAACCTGGAGGTCGGTTCTCCTTCTCAGGGTAAGGCAATGCCAGCCCCAGGAGCAGGTCCTTGTCCTGCAGCAGGCCTGCAGGACTCTGCTCAGGCAGTGGCTCCTCAGCCTCTGGCAGCCTGGAGGCCTGCCTGGTGGCGGTGACCACAGCCCCATCCTGGGCCTGGCTGGGTAGGCTTGGGCCCCACTCCTTCTTGCCCTGGCCCCGCCGGCGGTGGTGGCTGGTCTGAGGCGTCCATAGCGCTGGGCCTGGGAGGTCAATGTGATTCTCAGGGAGGTTCCGAGCAGGGGTCCCAGGTGCAAGGGCACCTGCCAGGCTCAGCTCCAGGGGCAGCAGGAGGGTGAGGAACAGCATGGGGCCGGTGTGGATGGCAGGCCCAGCCATTGGCTCCTCCCTGCAAGAAAAGCAACACCTATACACGCAGCCCCTCTTTGGCCCCTCACTCAAATTAAAGCTCAGCTTATCTCTTCTTTTTTTTTTTTTGAGATGGAGTTTCGCTGTTGTTACCCAGGTTGGAGTGCAATGGCATGATCTCAGCTCACCGCAACCTCCGCCTCCTGGGTTCAAGCAATTCTCCTGCCTCAGCCTCCCGAGTAGCTGGGACTACAGGCTACACCATGCCCAGCTAATTTTTGTATTTTTAGAAGAGTTGGGGTTTCACCTTGTTGACCAGGATGGTCTCGATCTCTTGACCTTGTGATCCACCCGCCTCGGCCTCCCAAAGTGCTGGGGTTATAGGCGTGAGCCACCGAGCCCGGCAAAACTCAGCTTATCTCAACAGCCACTGAGGGAGATTTTGCCCCCAGGGACATGTGGCAATGCCTGGAGACATATTTTAGTTGTCAAAACTGGGGAGTGTGGTTGGGGGGGGTGGCTCACGTCTGTAATCCCAGCACTTTGGGAGGCTGAGGTGGGTGAATCACAAGGTCAGGAGATCGAGAGCATCCTGGCTAACATGGTGAAACCCCGTCTCTACTAAAAATATAAAAAATTAGCCAGATACGGTGGTGAGTGCCTGTAATCCCAGCTACTCAGGAGGCTGAGCCAGGAGAATTGCTTGAACCTGGGAGGTGGAGGTTGCAGTGAGCCAAGATCACACCTCTGCACTCCAGCCTGGGTGACAGAGTGAGACTCCGTCTCAAAAAACAACAACAATAACAACAGCAGCTGGACGTCCTACTGGCATGTAGAGGCTAGAGGCCGGGGGTGCTGCTCGATGCCCGACAGTGTGCAGGACGGCCCCCCAAACCAAGAATCACCGAGCCAGAAAGACAACAGTGCCAAGGCTAAAAAGCCCCGGCTTAAATCGTGTCATCGAGGTTCCAGATTAGTCTAGAATTCCTTTCTCTGCACAAACCTCTGCCCCTTGCCAAGTTCCCTAGAAGGGAACTGAGTCCCTCAGAGCCCAGAAATCTTCCTGTAGCCCCTGAGACTTGACTCAGTGCCTAATTCCATACAAATGGAGTAAAAGCCCTTGAGCACAGGCTGTAGGCAGAACTCCCCTTAAGTGCTTTGTGTGAATTCATGTCACCTAGCCTTTTCAACAGCTCTCTGAAATGGCTCCTGTTATTTTCTCCATTTTTCTGAAGTGGCAATGAAGGCTCTGAGAGTCAAGTCACACCTAGTAAGTAGCACTGCGACATTTCTGTCCTGAGCCCTGAACCCCCGTGGCTGTCCCAGGAGGACCCCGCTCAGCCTTTTTCTTCTTCTCCCAGGATGAGCTCTGAGGCCCCAGAATGTGCTGACACTGTCCCATTTTTGGGCTGAGGGACTTTGGGGACAGCTTTGCAGACTTGGCTCTGATCCCTGCAGGGTGGAATGAGCCAACCCCACCTACCCTCAGGACAGCCCCCTCAGGGGACCCAGTGTCCTCCCTCACACTGAAGGGAGAAGCTGCAGCTCTGGGGACGGTGGGGGTGTCTGTCAGGCTCTGGACACCCCCGGCCCCGTATGCCACCCGCAGTGGCTCCCCCATGAACCCCCTCCACTGCACCAGCCTCACCCATCCTGGACCTGTGCACGGGGTAGCTGGGCTAACTGAAATGGCCTCCCGAGTATTCCACTAGTCTGGCAAGGGTGCTTACACCATCTTTTTTTGTGATTTATGACAGTATAATTGCCCAGGGCTGAGGAAAGGTTGATGGGCCTGGGACATTTCCCTGCTTCCCGGCGCCTCTCCCTGCAGCCCCCATGCTGGCAACCCAGTGTCACCTTAGCCGACGCCAAGCGAGGGTCGTAGGGCAGTGAAACTGCTGTGCCCTGGAAGCCCTGAGCAGGCTCACCAGAGGGGAGGGGAGGGAGGAAACACCTCCTCCAGCCTCTCAGTGTCTGTGGTGGCTTCACCCAGCTCTGCCTCCATCCAGGCCTGGCACATCCTGATCCCCTGGGAGCCTGGGCCCCGGCCTCCACTGCCCACAGCTGAGCTCTTCCTAGAACCATGGGCGGAGACAAGGAGGTGACCATCACTTTCCATCTTGTCCCCTATCCTGGGATCTGCCTGAAGATCCTGGGTGAGCCTTGGTGAAGTGCATGGGACCCTGGGACAGGCTTGCTGTGACAACCCTGTCTCTCTCACACCCATCCATTCCTAAGGCCACAGCCCCTGTGCTTCAGTCCCTGCTACTGTCCTAGTCACCTCACCAGCAACGCAAGGCTCTGCCCCCCACCTTGCCTCCTCCAGCCTTTCCCTAACAAGTGCTCCTGAGGCCGGGGCTCAGGAAGCTGGGCCTGTGCCCCCCTGCCCCCGCCATTCCTGAGGTGGGGGGAAGGGCCCACTTGAAAGCCCTGTCACTCAAGCATTGTTCGGTGCAGAGGGAACTTCCATCCTGCTTCAGGACCGTGAATCGGGGCTGCTCTCTGGGCTGGCGTTTAGCCTGACCGCTGCCAGACTTTGCCCTCTGCTCTCCCTGTGACTGGAAAGGCCACGCGCATGTGGGATGCCATCCGTGCCTGAGCCCCAGCCCTGCCTTTCAGTCCTGCAGGGACCTTAACAGCCTGGGAGAAGCCCAAAGAGCATCCGGGGGACAGGGAAGCTTCGGGATGCTGGCCAATGAATGGAGTCACCCCCGCCTCCTTGTCCTGGAGGTTGAGGGGAATAAGGTGGAAAACCTAGACAGCGCAAGCAAGAGAGCAAAGGAGGCTCAGCAGAGAGGTGGCCAGCTTCTCAGCTAGCCTGCTGTCCCCGGGGACGCACAAGGCTGTCAGTGACCCTCAGAGCCAGCCTCAGTGCTGGCCTTGGAGGACAGCTCCTCCCCTGCAGAGCTGGGAGATGAACCCCACTCCCACCCCACTCCAACACCCCCAAGCAATGTGGTCCCACCCAGACCACCAACTTCCCAAGCTCCATTGCCAAGACCCTCTTTGGCTGTGGGTCAGTACACGGTCCTCAGGAACCCCAGTCTGAGTACCATCTTTGTTCCCTCCCACCCTTCAAGCCCCACAAATCACACAGGCAGCCAACATGGGGCAGAGGAAGTGGGATTTCAGTGTGCAGTGCCAGAGCACTCACGGGTGGTCCCTCCTCTCCCCAGACCCAGCACATACTGGTGGTATGGCTACTCGCGTTGTGACCCTTACCTGCTCAAAACTGTCTATGGCTCCCTACTGCCTTCCCATATAACCACAGACTCCTTTCTTTGGCACTTAAGACCTTGTGTAATGTGGCCTCAACCAAGCTTTGCAGCTCCAGCTTCTACTTTCTCCCCTTCACAGGCAACAGAGACTGCTCCCTGGGCCCCAAAGACACCCCTGCTTTTCTGGCCCTCTGTTCTCACTTTGGCCATCCCCTCTGCCTGGAACCTCTCCCACCCTCACCCATCTCTCTCTGTCCAAGTCCTGCCCATCCTTTGGGACTCAACCCAAATGTCCCTTCCTCCAGGAAGCCTTGTTCAGTCCCTCGACTCAATGTCTTCCCGCTTGGTGCTCCCACATGCCTTTGTTCCTGAAGACCTGCCTGCTTTTGAAGACCTCGAGTGTCATTTTGCCCTGGCACTGTTAGTTTTTTTTAAGCCCCTGGCTGGACTGGAAGCTCTGAAGGACTTTGCCCAGTCTCGCCTCTGCTCTGTGGCACCTCCAGGACTCTGCACATAATAGGTGCCAATAGCCATGGATCAGAACAGAAGTGGGTTGAGCACAATCAAATTTATATATCATGCCGGGCACAGTGGCTCACACCTGTAATCCCAGCACTTTGGGAGGCCGAGGTGGGCAGATCAGCTGAGGTCAGGAGTTTGAGGCCAGCCTGGCCAACATGGTGAAACCCCATCTCTACTAAAAATACAAAAATTAGACGGCCATGATGGCGGGCGCCTGTAATCCCAGCTACTCGGGAGGCTGAGGCAGGAGAATTGCTTGAATCTGGAGGTGGAAGTTGCAGCGAGCCAAGATTATGCCACTGCACTGGCCCAGCCTGGGCGACAGAGACTCAAAAAAAAAAAAGAGAATTTATATCTCAGCAGATCATAAATAAATCTCCAGGATGTGTGAGTGTGTGTTGTGAGCATCTGACATGTGTGTGTGAATGCATGTGTGAGCATGTGCGGGTGTGTTGTGATGTGTGAGCATGAATAGATGTGTACATGTGTGTTGTGAGCATATGTGAGGGAGTGTTAGAATGTGTGTGTGTTATGAGCATGTGTGAGCATGAATGTGTGCATGTGTGTGAACATGTGAGCATGTGTGACTGTATGTGTTGTGAGCTTATGTGTGCGTGTGTGAGCGTGTGTGCTAGTGTGAGGGTGTGTGTGAGCTTATGTGTGGGTGTTGTATGTGTGAGCGCGAATATGTGCGTGGGCGTGTTCGTGTGTGTGAACTAGTGTGTTCGAGTGTGTGTTGTGAGCATGCGTGAGCATGATTATGTGTGGGCATATATGTGTGAACATGTGTGTGAGAGCTCATGGAGTGTGTGTGAAAATGTGTGTTGTGAGCATGTGTGCACAAGCGTGTTTGTAAGCATGTGTGTGGGGTATGTGCAATAGCGTGTGTGAGCTGGAGGAGGAGCTGGGGGAAGCCTGCACAGGCCCCTCTCCCCAACCCAAGGATTTGTACACAGCTCTTGGCACAGCCCAGCAGCGGAGATGCCAGCCTGGCAGGGAGCCCCTCAGGAAACATGGGCTGCTACAGAAGTCGTGCCAAGGATCCAGAGCGACCAAGGGCTCCAATCCATTTCTGTCACTCTGGAAGCCAGTTGGAGGCTGTGTCACAAAGCACCAGGCAACCAGGCGGAAGGAGGAGGCAGCCCACCGCCGCCTCCCCACAGCCCGCAACGGTTCTGCCCCCGGCCGGGTTGCTCACAAAGCCTGCGCTGCCGGCCCTGGGTCTGCTCCCCGCAGCCGGACACAGTCAGCAGCCCGGAGTCGCCCTGGACCAGAGTTGCTGAGGGACGGCAGGAACATC